TTTTAACATTAAAATGACCATCAACTGTTATGCATAATCTATAGTGCACTGTGAATTTTACCAACAAAATTGATCATAGTACAAGTTTTTCGCCCCATACATGAAGTGTCATTGAACATTGCTGCGCACTACAACACTTCACTATTTTTTTTATTTATACTGCCCTATTGGGCACTATTAGCTTCGTCCATCCTTCCTTTTTTATTTAACTCTGAAACCTGTAATAAAAACCTGAAGTCAACTCCGATAAGAGTAGAAATTCACTACATGCAGTGCACGCTGATGACAGACATTTCTGCACAGATTTCACATTAGACCGCCTGAAACAGAGTCTGCACTACCTAAGTCACGTGTGCCAGGGGGTAACTAGACCCCAGCACAAAAGTGCAAATATCTTTCTTTGTACAGCTTTTCAAGCAGAAAATTGCAAACAAATTCCTACCACCATAAACACTACTAAAAGTAGAAATGGCCATGCAGGCTGCAGTAACCCTGTTATGGGCCCTGGAGTCCCTCAGTGTACTCTCACTTTAAAGCATTAAAAAATAAATTTAAAAAATGGCCGCCGCAATTTGGCCCGGTCGGGTGCCGCTAATAATTGAGGTGGGGTAGTGAGGATGCACTCTCCCCTGCTCAGCTCCCTCGCACCACAGTGGTGCCAGAGGCGGAACATGATGTCACTCCGGCCCCAGCATCACTAAGAGGCGTGCGAGGGAGCTGAGCAGGAAGATCACTGCTCCCTCGCCGTCTGCACTGTACACCCACATGCCACCCTGCAATAGAGAATCAAAGAGGAACCATGGTGCATAAAAAACGCAAATTTTTTTTATAGGGAAGAATCCAATCCAACATTGCATTAACAGCTTCAGAATGAGGATGCACCTCCAGTGGTGTGGTTTAGGCGAAATGTAAACTTTAAAGCATTGCCTTTTTTCTCTAAAAAAGGCAATGCTTTACACTGTCAGACACAAAGTACAGTCTCTCAACCAAAATAACTATTTAACAAATCTGAATACTTTACTGATTAGCTGCATCTCTAATACCCCTTACCTGAAATATTCTTTTACAGTTGCCATGAAACTCCATGCTAAGGCCAATGTTACTGGTTTTACTTGAACTGGAAAACTCTATTAGAAGCGCTGTCAGAATGGAACACGCCAAGGTTTGCTGTAGGAGACAAGGGGGGGACGGGGGGGGAAATTAAATACAGACATAAAATCAGATCCAAGCCAAGATCTCCTGCAATGAAAAGTTAAAGAATACATTCCAGGCACCCACATGGTACAATTAGGTACAATGTGTGTTACATTACAGTTCGTTTTTTGCTTTAACCCTCTTTTATAATTATCAGAACAAAAAAATTAAAAGAAATAACAATCGTGTTCCATATGCCTTTCCTTTCTGTCCCTCTATCACAACAGTCAATTTTCTGTCTGTTTTTGCTCCAGTAAGAGACTTATGGGAATTACAGTTCATCTGTTAGCTTTCTAATGTAAGTCCCAGAATGCCTTTGTGCACCCAATAAAGCACTAACAAAATAATGGACTTCCTGATCTGGTCAGAGTTCATTGAAGAAACTACAGAGCCTAGTTACCTTTTTATACTTTTGTTATTTTAAGGTATATTTTTTTATAATCTTTGTTAACATACTATGCACATTATATAATGTCTAAGAACAAATCCACCAACTCCAGCTCCGAATGTCCCTTTAAGACAGTTAACAGGAATATGATGGTTAAATACACACCTACACAAAGACAGATGAGATCTCTACCAGACCTATTGCTCATGTGCATTGCTTCTGTATAACTCTAAAGAAACCTGTGAAATGATTCTCAGAGTTTAATTCAGTGCTACAGTGTTTAACACATGGTGACGTCAATTAACTTTCAGAGTGGCCCATCAACGGATTTGCGATTGGAATGTATTGTCTGAAGAGATGAGATTGATAGAAAGAAGGGAACAAGATGTGGGAGACAGATGTACAAAACCAAATTACCGTGTTTAAAAATACATAAATCAGATATTCCACGGATTTCTGCAAGATTTGTTTATATAAAAGGAGACCTTTGGAAATGGCAAGACAATTACAGCCCAGTAGAATGTGAATTTTGACTACAATTACCCTCAGCCTCCTACAGTTGCCTGTCTTGTATTGGGAATATCTTCCACTGAACTGCAAATAAATCTCCTGGCAAGCGAGGTGTTATGCAGGCCTTGTTAGCACGCAGGGCATGATGTTGGCATGAATCGCCATAAAACAGCAGCAGGAAGCTTGCTGCCTCTTTCAACGCCTGTTTAATTTATATAGCTATAATCTCTGATAGGATTCTCAATTAAAGTACAATCAGCATTAAACAGATCACATGGATAACATGTAAGTTCTGTCTTAAGAGGCCATCAAATAGATTAAAAGCGTTAAAAAAAATAAATAAAAAAAAATAATTACACAACAGTTCATGTATATTTAAAAGAACACTATGGGCACCCAGACCACTTCATCTTATTGGAGTGGTCTGGGTGCAGTGTCCCTGTCCACTTAACCCTGGAATGTAAAACGTTACAGTTTCAGAAAAAGAGCAATGTTTGCATTGTATGGTTAAGATTGCCTCTAGTGGCAGTCTTGACCTTCTGACTAAGAAGTCAAACTGTTGTAGTTTTGGCTATTAGAGTTTTCCTTTTAACCCACCAAGCTGTACATTAAACAATCTGCAGTGGAGGACAAACTTGGGGGAAGACATTTTTGGAGGGTGAGACTACGGCAATGGCTGACTAGTTAAAAAGAAATATGCAGAGTACCTCACAGTACCCAAGAGATTAAAGTGGACATGATACTATTTATGCAGGCTCACAGAACAGCTGACAACCATGCCTTACAGGGACCAACTGCTATATCTTTGTTCATAAATGCCTCTCATGTCAATACCTTGACCTTAGAAACGCTTGTTATCTTGGTTAGAACGCTCCAAACCTAATCCCCCTTGTTGCACGATACATAAACATAGGAAACTGGAATATCAGGCGCGTGTCAATGGTTGCAGGGCACCGCCTTGCCCCGAGGGCTCAACTCAAGTAAAGTGACAATACCATTCCAAAACAATGGCAGCTATTTCAACCTTTTGAGAGGTTAATGTAAACTGTAAACATGAGCACAGTGCAAGCAGTGAATCAAAGATGACAGGAAGACAAGACTAGCACTTTGTCAGCCACCAACGGCACGTGATAACCATTTGAGAACTAGATGGATAGGCTACAAGTGTTCTATCAAAGAGATATAACGTATATGTAATTCCCCCTTGTGACACATATACACACACTAAACATTAACAGAACACTATAGCGTTAGGAATACAAAACTGTATTCCTCATGCTATAGTAAGCCCCCGTCACCTAACTTATTAGGGTTTTTTCCACTCACTCTGGCTCGAACTCCTCCTTCCTTGACATGATGCTGATGGAGGACCTAATGTGCAATTGCGACTAGCACGGCATACAATTTACATCTTCCCCATCGAAGCCACTGAATCAATGCTTTTATATGAAGATTTTGAAGACCCTGAAACTGCATTTTCTTCACTTGCAGGGTTAAGGGGACTGGAACACTGCACCCAGACCAGTGAGATGAAATGGTGTCGGTGCCTATAGTGTTCCTTTAACTAAAAGAGAAATACACATATAAAGTGATTATCTCTGTATATTGTCACCCATGCCATTATTTCCTGCAGTGAGCGTTTAATCTACTAATTGCACCCGTGGAGTTTTAACTCTGGCAGCTGTGAAACACACATTTTTACCAGTCAGCCAGAAATGAGTGGGAGTTGCACTGAAATAGCTGCTGCCTGGAGTGGCAACACCCACTAATCTCTGTCAGACTGGTAAATGTGTATCCCAGTGCTGCTCTGATTGTAAAGTCCTTTCTTTTATCCCTACATAACCACAACCTTAAAAATTCATTTAATATTAAAATAATCATGTAATATAAGAGATACATTAAAAATCTGCTATGTCAGATGTCAAAATTTCCACTTGCCTCCCAAAATTACATATTGGAAATTAGGTCTTTGCGAGTTTTAAATGGTCTCCCTGCTGCCTGTGAGGACTTCGGGTGAAAAGCAAGATGCCTGGCTGAACCGTGCTTTCAAACCCCAAACTCCATGCTCCATGCTCCATGCTCCTCTTCACTTGCAATCACAGGCATTCTGAAAATTAAATACTGGTGCATGATCAGTTTAACCCGCTCTGTAGAAGTCTTAGGAATCTTCTGGTCAGCTCCCTTCACTCCGACACAGTGATGCATGAAAGAAAACTGAAAGCTCTGTTTTGACATATTTTGGAGAGTGCATGAGGAATCTCCCTCTTGGCTAAATCTGTAAAAACTGAGCTTTCTTTCAAGTGGCCCTGTGTCGGAGTGAAGGGAGCTGACCAAAAGATTTCTAAGATCTCTACGGAGAGGTTTAATCTGTTAAGTACTAAACGTTCCTACAAAAATTACTACATATATTGTGAGAGTGTATTCATAAAAGGATCATATCCACCGGTTATTTAAAATGTCAGAGTGATCAGGAAGCAATTTTAAATTACATTTTTTTTAAAACAGTTTTTCTCTCAACGCCAAATTTCCTATCAAAGGGAGAGATCGTGGAAAATATAATTTAGTTGTGTTAGGTAAACAGATACCAGATGTTCAGAGTAATTCCTTAGACCTGGATGTAAACCAGTGTAAATTTTATCGACTAACAATTTTAGACTACTAAAAAAAATTTGATTTAGGCAACTAAAACAATTTAGATTTAGTCTAAAATATGACTAAAATTAAAATGGCTTTTTAGTCAAAAGACTATGACTAAAACCAAGTTGACATTTGCTGCCAAAATTAACACTGCACAGATGGGCAATGAGACAGACTATAGCTTGGGAGGACAAAGAGAGACAGAGGGGCTGGGGAAGGGACAACAGAGGTAGATAGAGGCAGATAGAGGCTTTAACTAAACTCGTTAGATTTTAGTCGTTTCAACTAAAATATACTGGAGAATTAGACGACTAAAACAAGAATGGCTTTTTAGTCAAAATACCATGACTAAAACTAAATCGAAAGTTGCCGCCAAAATGAACACTGATGTAAACATAGAATTCCAAATTTTGAGGTATGTGCTATGTAATACAATTTTAAACACCGCATGTCTGCATTCTGCACACAAGATTTTTCCATGTTGGTAAGCAACAAAGATACATTTGAAAATGGTGTTCTAGATCTACACCAGGCAAAGGTATTGAGAACAGCGGCTGCGTTCTGTTAACATTAATAAACACATTGCCATATCTTAGGCCATCTTTCATCCAGAGCATTACATACACCATCTACGTGCGTTTTTAGAGCAGAAAAGTCTGTTCACAAAACAGGGATGATTTCAAAACAAGCAGCCACGGACTACAGGAACAGCTGCCGACCTGAACGTGTGGGTATGTTAAAAGTCAGAGTTATATGGAGCAACAGTGCAAGTGACATGTGTATGACATTATGGTAATGGGATGAAAGGTCACTTGAATACTTTAGTTTAGGGAACCTACGGTGCTGTCCTCATTAAAGAGGCATTACTGGTACGAGACAGGGCATGCTGTAGGTTAGCTATGTCAAATTTCAATTAGTAATTTTTTATTTATTTATTTTTTTATTCTTTATTTTAGTAGTGCATATAGTATACATGTATGCTTGCATAGACACAACAGCCAGTGCAGGCTAGACATAGAAAAACAGTTGTATGGCTTATTAACGTTGCACATTTTATGAGTTTATACATGAGTATAGGAACAAGCTGTCACATATTCATCCGCTTATAGAAATGTGGTTAATGACATTTACTGTCCACACAGGAAAAGTTGTGCCGAGCAGCAACCTAATCCACAGAAGGGTTAATGCTGAGCAGCAATTATGCAAATGAAACCTGGTAACTGACTTTGGGGTCAAAGGCCGGTTACAGCCTATCAGAACTAACGGAGGGGTATTTAGGCCCAGTTCTCAGCCTGCTCAGTGCCCTGTCGTGGTTTCCCTTGTGGTTGTCTGAGAGCGCGTTCCTGTTTATAGTTTTCTACCTGGTTTTTGACTTTGGCTTTGTTTATTGACTTCTCTATATTCTGGTATCCTGACTCGTGGCTTTCCTCATCGCTGTGTCCCTTTCTGTGTTCCCTGACCTCGGCTAGTATATTTGACTATTCTTTGTACGTTAAATCCGGCCATTCTAAGGACCGGTAATACGTTACTTATTTGTCATCCGTGCTGTACAGTTCTACGTGCTGGATCAAACAGTAATCCTGACATTACGACATGGCCATAGATCCTGTAGAACTATGTCAGCACATAGCTGCTTGCGAGAGGAAATTAGAGGAGAATGATCACCGCATGGATCAATTCACTCAGGCTTTAAGTACGCTTCTCGCTAGAACGGAGCATCTGCAACCTGCAGCGTCTCTTCCTATAGCACCTCTACCCTGTGCACCTCCACCCACTGTTAATAGGACTCCTTGCATCTCCTTATCACCATCCCTACAGTTTGATGGCAATATCCAGGAATGCAGGGGTTTTCTTAATCAGGTGGAGTACCATTTTGAGGCCTCACCAGGGTCATTCCCCACGGACAGAGCAAGAATTGGTTATCTAATGAATCAATTAAAGGGCAAGGCCCTTGCCTGGGCTAATCCGTTGTGGAAGAGTTACGCCCTTGCATAGACTACAGGGCACTTAATAAAATCACTGTAAAAAATGCATACCCTATTCCACTCATTTCCGAATTGTTCGATAGACTTCAGGGAGCTAAAGTATTTACTAAGCTTGACCTTAGGAGCGCTTACAATTTGGTTAGAATTAAAGAGAATCATGAGTGGAAGACGGCATTTAATACCCGTAGTGGACACTATGAATATCTGGTAATGCCATTTGGGTTATGCAACGCCCCGGCCGTATTCCAAGACTTTATAAATGATGTACTCAGGGAATTCATTTACTCATTTGTCTTGGTTTATTTGGACGATATTTTGGTGTATTCCCCTGATCTTCAAACTCACCACTCCCATGTGAAACAGGTTCTGCAGACGTTGTTGAAAAATAAACTTTATTGTAAATTAGAAAAGTGCATATTTGACCAGCCTGAAGTCCACTTTTTGGGTTACAACATCTCTGCATCGGGATTTCAAATGGATCCTAAAAAACTAGAGGCTGTACTACACTGGCCATTACCCTCTGGTTTAAAAGCCATTCAAAGGTTTATTGGTTTTGCCAACTATTACAGAAGATTCATCAAGGGATTTTCTTCTGTAATAGCCCCAATCACAAATATGACTCGCAAAGGGGTTAGTAGCACGGTATGGTCCAAAGAGGCTGTGAATGCTTTTGAGACTCTTAAACAAAGATTTGCCTCTGCGGACATACTAAAACATCCTGACACCAGTAAACCTTTTATATTGGAGGTTGATGCATCCGAGACAGGGGTAGGGGCTGTTCTCTCTCAGAGAGAAAGCCAGGGAACACCATTGCATCCTTGTGGCTACTTCTCCAGAAAGATGTCTCCTGCTGAGCGCAACTATGATATTGGCAATAGAGAACTGTTGGCCATTATTCTTGCCCTCAAGGAGTGGCGACATCTTTTGGAGGGTTCCAAGGACCCCCTGTTGATCATAACCGACCACAAAAATCTGGCATATATAGGGGATGCCAAACGTTTGTCTTCCAGACAGGCTAGATGGTCACTGTTCCTTTCACGTTTTAACTTTCTCATTACTTATAGACCTGGTTCTAAAAATACCAAGGCTGATGCCTTGTCCAGGCAATTTGATAATGAGTCAGCTCCGGAACAGATGACATCTCCTATTATTCCAGCAGAGTGTATTATTGCTACTACTGTCCTCTCCACTGCTTGGCACCATACTGGAGGCCCAGCCTCAGGCGCCCAGTGGTAAACCATGTGATAAACTGTTCGTTCCCCTATGTGAAAGGGTTAATATCATGAAAGTGTTCCATGACAATATAACTGCTGGACACCCGGGCATCAATAAGTCCACTGCCGCGATCACTAGATCATTTTGGTGGGATTCACTCAGGAAAGATGTAAAGGAGTATGTGCAGGCATGTTCTGTGTGTGCAGTTTCTAAGGTGACTCATGCACTTCCTTGTGGCCTGTTGCAGCCTCTTCCTGTTCCTGAGATTCCATGGTCCCACCTATCCATGGACTTTATTGTTGAGCTTCCTAGCTCTGCTGGGTTCACTACTATTCTCATGGTTGTAGACCGATTTTCTAAGATGGCTCACTTCATTCCTCTCAAGAAGTTGCCATCTTCGCAAGATTTGGTCCTAATTTTCATACGTGAAATTGTCCGTTTGCATGGCATCCCCCACAATATTGTGTCTGATAGGGGCTCTCAGTTTGTGTCCAGGTTCTGGAGGGCGTTCAGTAAACAATTGGGGATTGATCTCTCCTTCTCCTCCTCCTACTATCCACAGACCAATGGTACAGCTGAGAGGGCTAACCAGTCATTAGAAGTTTATTTGCGTTGTTTTATTAATAGCACACAAGACAATTGGTCCGAACTACTCCCGTGGGCCGAGTTCGCTAGAAACAATGCTGTTCATGACTCCTCTGGGCACAGTCCATTTTTTGTCAATAATGGTAGGCATCCTACGGTTCTCCCTGTGGTATTTTCTGATACTGCCATTCCTGCTCTGGATGAGCGTCTGGCCTCCATTCGGGATACCTGGGTTAAGGTTCAAACTGCTCTAGGGGCTGCTGCTGAACGCTTCAAACATTTTGCTGATAAGCGTAGGAGTGCCAACCCGGTGTACCAAGTGGGGGACCGGGTTTGGTTGTCATCTCGCAACATCAAGCTTAAGGTTCCCTAGCATGAAGTTTGCCCCCAGATTCCTTGGTCCCTATAGAGTGCTTCGTAGGATCAATCCAGTGTCTTACTCTCTGGCTCTTCCTGCATCTTTAGGGATTCCCAACACTTTTCATGTGTCCTTACTCAAACCTCTTGTCTGCAATAGATATACTGTTCCTTGTGTTCCTCCCCCTCCGGTGGTGGTGGGTGGTCAGGAAGAGTATGAGGTATCTTCTATCGTGGATTCTAGGTTTTCTCAGGGCACTTTACAGTACTTGGTTGTTTGGAAAGGTTACAGTCCTGCTGATCGTTCTTGGGTTTCGGCTCCTGACCTGCATGCGGGCCGTAAGATCCGTGCTTTTCACACTAAATTTCCTCTCAAGCCTGGTCCTGTCCGCCCGGTGGGGGGTAATATCACATATTCATCCGCTTAGAGAAAAGTGATTAATGACATTTACTGTCCACACAGGAAAAGTTGTGCCAAGCAGCAACCTAATCCACAGAAGGGTTAATGCTGAGCAGCAATTATGCAAATGAAACCTGGTAACTGACTTTGGGGTCAAAGGCCGGTTACAGCCTATCAGAACTAAAGGAGGGGTATTTAGGCCCAGTTCTCAGCCTGCTCAGTGCCCTGTCGTGGTTTCCCTTGTGGTTGTCTGAGAGCGCGTTCCTGTTTATAGTTTTCTACCTGGTTTTTGACTTTGGCTTTGTTTATTGACTTCTCTATATTCTGGTATCCTGACTCCTGGCTTTCCTCATCGCTGTGTCCCTTTCTGTGTTCCCTGACCTCGGCTAGTATATTTGACTATTCTTTGTACGTTAAATCCGGCCATTCTAAGGACCGGTAATACGTTACTTATTTGTCATCCGTGCTGTACAGTTCTACGTGCTGGATCAAACAGTAATCCTGACACAAGCTAAGTCTGAAGCTGCTATGGTGGGTTATGTAGGTTGAGTTATGGTTAATTTCAACGTTGTTACACATAGCCCTCTAACATATGAAAAAGTTGGGCTTTGCTACCTGTTTGGTACATGGTTATGCTAGTGTTAGTTAATGCTGAATAATTACAGTGGGTTAGGTAGTGTGTTCAAGTTTAGTAAAATTTGCTATGTTCTCAGGTGCCAGCGCAGCTCTTGGGTTGCCACAAAAATACCTGCTGCAACTGACAGCTGGTGGGCATAACTAAGGGGAAGAGAGTTTACCACTAGGAGGGAGGGCCCCATTTTCGGTGTCCTTAGTGTGGTGTGCTCCATCGCTAGCATGGAGAAGTGGCCTAAACAGTTGATAGTAAAGCATAACATAAAAGTATAAGAGTAACATCAAATGTCAAGGAGAAACAATAAAACTTCAACATTTGCAGATAGAGACTATATGAGGCATGGGGTGATTGACTCATCTGTAGTATCAAGAGTCCCGGTCAGCCAACCCCCGCAAGAGATATACCACAGTCCCACTCTGGTGCCTTTGTGAGTCTTGGTCTTGGTCGCGGCGTGTGCTCAGGGGGCGCCCTGTGTCGTGGGACGTTGTTGCCGCCATTTTGGGCCCTGTGCCTTGCAGTCTCCACTCCCGGTCTAGTGTCGTTCCGTTCTTAGGTGAGGTGAGTCCCATCAGGGAACCCTTCTGCTTGCTCGTGTGCCTTATGCTCCGAGGTCCTCCGCACTCCCGTGCCCTGTCTGCCGTCGAGTAGCACAGTCCATGAGCCGGTCTAGGTCCACAGGGTCCTCTCCGGGTCTTTAGGTGTCGCTGCGATATGTGACTGACTGTGCGGAGCCTGTCTTTGCTGGATCGACAGTGGGACGGGAAGGCAGATTTGCATTGGCCCCTGCTTGGGTGAGTGAGGGCGCTGGGCGGATGCCGGTTCGCTTGATGGGAGTGGGTGAGTGATGCTCGCCTTGTAGAAGTGGGTGATCGTGGTGAGGCAGGTTGATTTAGCTTAACCACCAGCTTACTCCAGAATGCCTCGAAGTGATTGTTTATTCGAGTGAGGATGTCTTGTGAGGTGTCGCTGGGGTTGTCAGCACGTGTCCGTCATCTTAGGGAGGTCTCTGTTTACTGTCTTCGGCGGTGTTCCCCTTCTCATCCTGCTCAGGGTCGCCACCCCAGTGTGGACCGGGATCACCCCTGCCGGTCCAAGGGGGGGGGTAGGGGGGGGGGACGTGGTAGCAGGGCTTGCTTGTGCGGTGAGCAGCTTCAGGGTGCCTCCAGGACAGGGGAGCGGCCGCCTCCCCCACCCGATGCAGACCAGGCCGCAGTGTCGGTCGTGATTTCATCTGGCCCCAATCGAGTTAAATGACAGCCCACTGTGTGCCCTCCATCGTGGGTGGCATGTAGTTGTCTGGAAATGCTGTGTCGCTTGGGTGAGCCGATTTTCGCTTGTTTTGTCAGGATTTTGTGGGAGCTCGTGGAAAACACGAGACTCCGCCATGGTCAGGCCCCGCCCCCCAGTAATCCCTTTTTGTGTACACACTCATTAATAGACACCCATTTGTATAATAACCCATTACATTCATTCGAAATTTGTGTTAAATTAGTGAGATAAATGACACCCCCTTAATAAAAATGCTGTGCTACGAATTTTCAGCTATTAAAAATGGGCACTGTAAGCATCATAATCACTAGAGCACGCTGAAGTGATTATGGTGCTAGCAGGTTAGTGGCGCTATACCCAGGTTCTGCATCACACTCCATGAACAGTTTGATGCAAATGAAGCCCCCTCCTCCCCCAGGCATTGATCAATTTGATTGACGCAGCTTTGATACGCAGAAGGTAACAGTTGTATAAAAGGCATATTTGAAAGTAAAGGACATCCCCCGTTTTAAGAATTCAGTGTGTGGTGATACACATTGATCAGGTTGGGCCAGCACACAGGAGGAGGATTAGTGGGGAGGTTAGCAGATAATGGTCAGTGACCAACTGGAGCTCACTGACCATTCTAATTGCAGACAAAGCCTCAGATATACAAAGTGTGCTGAGTGGTGTGATTAAAGACATATCGGTTACAGTTTTGCTACTCGGAACCTGCTGTTTTCCTATCTAAGACTGGTGGCTTAAACCTTGAAATTTAAAAAAAATTATTTTATTTTTTTTTAATTAAGCACAATTGAGAGCTTAACAGTGACCTATTAATAGAACAGGAAATTAAATACCTACCATGATGGAGCTTTTTCCTCTGTGTTTGTTTTTAAATGTATTAATATTTCTTTAAATCACTTTTCTATTTTTTTATTATAAGTTTTGTCGCTGAGTTAAATGACAGTGTGACAATACAAAAGCAATACACGCCAGTTGGCCGGCCAACTCTTGTGCTCGGATTGTCTCCCATAATAGTCTGGCAATGACCCAGCTGCATTATACCCCAAAATAAACTTCATAAAGGTTACCATAGACAAAGGATTTCAGCTGCTCTTTTATTGGAACATTCATGTAAGCCAAGCAGAAAGTATATCCATCAATCAAACGGAAACGCGCATGAACGTGATGCCAATGTTATCGCTACGATGACTGGTTTCTGGACTGAAACCTTGAGGAACTCAAGAATAGGAGCTTGGTTAGATCCTGTATTGGTTGAAACATTGCTGGTTTTATAATGGAATAACCATGTTTATACTAGTCTGGAGCAATGGCTCCATTGTCTACTAGATCACAAAGACGCTGGACCTCTCCCGTCCCATGCGTCTGTTAATAAGTTACAGGATTATGGGAAATGAAAAAGGTGATTGTAAGTCAAATGAGCTTTCTTGAATAAATAGCAATTTAGGCATTACCAACGGTCAGCTGGCCAAATGGCAGAGTAGATTGTGGGCTAAATGTCAAAAAAAGGCAAGAATGTTATAATTTATCAGTCCTAAAAGAAAACAAGAAGATTCACTTGTGGTGTTTTTAGAATGTCCTAAAATGTGTCCTCCGACACCAATACTGAAACCGGAATGAATTAAAACCTTTTTGGAACCAGTTACAATTTCATTTTCTGACTGAACTGTGGAAAGTGGAAGAGATCTGTCTCTAACACAAAAAGTATCAACAATAAGAATGCACGTCCAAAGATGTACACTAAGAACTGTGCAGATTATAACTGTATGTGGCTTACGTGAAAGATAAAAGCTTTTAATTTTAGCCACAAGGATTATTCACAAGACCAGCAATATTAGAATATTAACAATTTAACTTGGACTTTAAAGACTTTTTTTTTTTCAACCTAGACAATTACGTAGCGCCAGTTTTCAGATTGACAATGTATACATGAAACCTGGTAAGAAAATCAGTGCAGATGCCGAGTCCAATGCTATTTCATCAATTTGGAGAAATGAACAAACTAGCTTGTGAAGAAAAAAAGTAGCCCTGTTTAAAACCAGTAGGGGGCGTAAATCCAAACTGGAGCTGGGGGATACAAGTATTTATCGACACATGTCGACACATGGGTCACTTTTCTGCCATCTGATGCCATACTTACAGGTCCCAAATTAATAAATATGATTACATGAATCCACATGGGTCTACATGAGGGAAGTGGAAATGATGAACAAACACAACGTTTTCTCAAATTAGGATGGCACTTATGTAAAAAGAGGAAGTAGAAAAAAAAAAAGTTATGTATATTACATTATGTGTAGATTGTGACTTTTATAAGCGATAGAGCAATAAGTTTTCTCAACCTGTTCAAAGACTTTGTGGATAGTATTCCCATCTGAACTGGAAAGAATGTTTACGGGATGCTTGGGTCATGCGACTAGGGCATATAACGCAAGCCTTGAAATAATCAAAGCTTCAAAAGAGAGGGAATGAAAAGTTGAGGTCTCTAATCGTGCACACTGTATGATGAAATGGAATTAAAAGAATGATGCTCCACACTGAAGGTGACCTACATTTTCAAAGTACTATGTTAGGGGGCGGGGCCTGACCAGCATGGAAAATAGACGTGCTACAGCAGAGCTCCTCAGAAAATAGGGCAAAATACGACTTTTTAGCCCTCAAAGCTTAAAAAAAAGGAAAACCCAAATGGTCTCATCTGACCCACGAAAACCGACCTTGCAGCCTGCGATCACTCTGAGGCCGGCTGGCAGACCGACTTGCACCATGAGGCCTGGCAACCGTAGAGCGGGAGAGGCGGCCGTTCCCCCGGTCCGGTGCCATGAGATGCTGACACAGCGCAAGCAGAAACCCCGTTACTCCCCCCCCGGAGTGATCGCAGTCCACACCTGAGATACAAATCGAGACTGGAGCAGGAGCAGAGGGGGAATGCACAGGAAAGTATGCAACACGACGCTGCACCCAACATAGCGGACGCCACGCTTTCCCCCGAACCTACAGACCCACAGCATGGAACCCGGCAAAGTCTAGAAGCATTCTTCGACAATTTCTGGTGCAAGCTGGAGTCATGATATATAAAATACAAAATTTTTGTGCATGTGAAAACGAAAGTGAAGCTACACCTGAGGACTGCCTTTGGGGCACCTCAGGTCTCTATGTAACCCTCTATTGCACCTCAAAAAAAAAAAAAAAAAAAAAGTACTATGTTAATAATGCAAAAACATAGGCAAACAAGATAAATATTTAATGACGTATTTCTCAGTTAAGTTGTTTTGGTAAGATGTTTTTGCTCAGCTGCGTGCCCCCACTAATTTCTCCCTTGTTTGGAATGTATTCACAATGAATGGGCAGTGATAGGCCGGTCACTGGAACCCACGGCTTTCCTTTTCAGCTCAGTACATCATTCAAGCAAAGAAGGGAGAAATAGTTGCCAAGCGGACAGGCCCCTTTGGAGAAAAATAACATGTTAAACCATTCAGAAATGGATTAACACATTAAGGTAAGACCGCGCACCAGGACTCAAACCTTAAAAACCTCTTCATTTAGATGAAATTTTTTGAGGTAAGAGAACCCTTCTATTATATATAAAAAAAAATAAAAAAAATTGCTGCAAATCCTCGGATATATTTTGGCCTAGACCAGAAAGTCTCTCTCTCTCCCAATCCAAATGTTCCATTAGATTCCGAGTTGAAATTGTCCCGGCACAGTAGGAGTTTATGGGACATGTTCTGCAGCCTATGACCGATATTCTATCAAATGAATTGAACTGCCACCTAAGCTAATAGCAGCGGCATTGTTTTGTGAAAAGAACCATCAGGCCCAATCAAGGATGTGTAGCTGCTGCTAAGACTCATTTGCTGTAAGTTCCGATGTAGTCTGCTAGTGGAGGTGTCCATACATGTAGAGCGCTAATACCCTGCTACGGCATCTCATCATTATCTGGACAGTCAGAATACTAAATTTCCATCTAAGACATAAGTTTTTTTTTTGTTTCACTACACAGGCAATGATCATATGTTGGAATAGTACTTAGAGTGACCCTTAAAATCTCTGTAAGTGGTTAAAATATAACTTTACCAGCATTAGGTCTGTAAAGGCTGGAAGGCAAACTGTAAAATTAAGCTCTGTAATCACAATCAAATTAGTAAACCAGGAAGGAATATGCACTTATTGAAGTAATCTTCAGACAGCAGAACAATGTAAAGTTAAAGGTACACTATAGTCACCTGAACAACTTTAGCTTAATGAAGCAGTTTTGGTGTATAGAACATGCCCCTGCAGCCTCACTGCTCAATCCTCTGCCATTTAGGAGTTAAATCCCTTTGTTTATGAACCCTAGTCACACCTCCCTGCATGTGACTTGCACAGCCTTCCATAAACACTTCCTGTAAAGAGAGCCCTATTTAGGCTTTCTTTATTGCAAGTTCTGTTTAACTAAGATTTTCTTATCCCCTGCTATGTTAATAGCTTGCTAGACCCTGCAAGAGCCTCCTGTATGTGATAAAGTTCAATTTCGAGATTGAGATACAATTATTTAAGGTAAATTACATCTGTTTGTAAGTGAAACCAGTTTTTTTTTCATGCAGGCTCTGTCAATCATAGCCAGGGGAGGTGTGGCTAGGGCTGCATAAACAGAAAAAGTGATTTGACTCCTAAATGACAGTGAATTGAGCAGTGAAATTGCAGGGGAATAATCTATACAATAAAACTGCTTTAATTAGCTAAAGTAATTTAGGTGACTATAGTGTTCCTTTAAAACATACTTACATGGAGATAAATTGTGTCAACTATGACACTGTGAAAAGGATATCCACAAACACAAGAAGGAACAGATTACAGGACAATAAAAAAAAAAAAAAGAAGGTGTTTTAAGCCACTATTGCACATTAAAGAAAAGCAAGAGAACCAATTACTGAATTTTCAATTTAGACTTCCCTTATTACGTGCATGTCGTAGTACATCTTATATCACTGCAGACAAGAATGATCAGACAGTGCAAAGGATTCCATATCTAACCCTAAGCAAGCTTTCTGTACAGTACAAATGTCAGTCTACAGAGGGAGCTAACATTTATGATGAAGAGATCATATTTCAGTTAGTACCAAACCGCAGATCCCGAGTTACAAGCAATGCATTGCAGCATTTGCTGGAAAATTGTGGGCAATGCAGATATGCAGCCATAAGCACGGGAAACAGCAAAGCCATCATGGAAAATAGTGCCGGGTCATTTTGGAAACATTTCACAAAGAACGAATGGAATAATAAAAACCACAGATTATTTTTAGGCACAACATAAGGATTTATTTTTATGATCTGGCTGTCGGACTACTGTGGTTGGGGTACAAGCAACAGCAGTAGTAGAATTAGAAGAACCACAAACTGACATGAGGTCTAATTACAACAGAATAAAATGTAAAAATTAAGGTTTTACAAGCTTGGGTAAAACAAGGGAGACAACAACAAAAAAACTGATCTCCAGAAAAGCAGTATAGAGAGGAATTCAGCAAGTGGCAAAGATGGCTAACAGGAGCAACAGGTTTTAATATGTGTCATGTGTCTGGCTATTAAGGGAGGACCCAGATAAGGGTCTTAAAACCAGTGACTTATGAGATGGTACTTTGAGAATCATACCCTAAACTGTGACTACTACCCCAAACAAAAGTCATTTATTACAATGTAGAAGGCGCTGTAAGTTCCCACTGGAATTGGGTCATCAACTCCTATATTTCGAAATTTTTGTTTTGTCTTAGATGAATTGCACGTTTGTTTTTGTACTGCATCAATTGTACTCATGGACAACACTGTGCGTTCGATCACCTCTGTAAATACGGACACTAAGTCCGCTACCGAACAGAAATGTGCGATTTGAATGTGATTCAAATGAGATCTACCCAGGTCACAGTGTATTCCGCTTAATTATCATCATTTTGCAGATGGGTATCAGTAATACCTCCCTATGTACTTTTTCACAGAAGACACTGTATGCCTCAGAGTTTTCAGAGACACAAAACAAGCTTACAGAAAAAAAAAAGTAGAGCAATACTTACTACCGTGGGATTACAACTGCTTATTAAGTGGCTGACTTCATGGAAAATGCTCTTGCAGTCAATGGATTTATCTAAAGAGCCTCTTTTCACTATGACCGCTACCGCCAATAGAATCTGCTCTCGCACGTACTTCTGCAGGCTGTAGATGAAATACAAATTAGATGTAAGATATTGCCGGACACAATGCATATCCTGTAAACATGCACAATGACAAAGTAGACAATAAAATAATAAAACGAATCAGTAGATTATTTTTCTTTTCTTGATCAGAATAGCAGTGGAGGACATGAGACAGATGGGGAGAAATTAGCTCAGATAGTTGTTAAAGTAATACTCCGCAGCTCAAAAATAAAAACACTGTTTAGTAGATATAACCTCAATGAAAACATGCATGCATTTAATTATGCAGTTTTTCCATTGGTGTTAGATCTACAAACTGGTTGCAAACGTTGCAGATCTCTTATCTGCAGCCTTTGTAGACACAGGGCACCCAGCATTTCTTTGACTGTCCAATAGACTTTCCAATGAGAAGTATTTGCAAGGAAGTGCTCTGACCAATTCCCTGCCTCTAGTATAACTCCACTAAGCTAAACTACCAGGAAGTAACATGACTGTGTCTCTTTAACAGCCAAGAGGTTTAACCAGGTTATTTTATAAAAGGAGCAATTTCTATTCAAATCAACATTTATTTATTTTTTTGCAAAAAGACTTCACAGATAAAGCACTTCTGATCGATGGGGGGCATGGGGAGATTTCAAGAAACAAGTTGGTTTTTGCAAGTTTATTTTCAAATAAATATATTGGCAACAGTTTGTTTAACACCAATTAATTAGTTCCGGCTTGTCAGACACTGAGCAGAGAAGGGATAATAGTCTATTGATTGGAAGCTTCATTAAGCAAAAGGATCTTACAACAATTTTGTGGACATAACCTACTGCTTGTCATTAACTTGATTATTTTATATATTCATACTACAAATCACCATCATCTGCTGTCAAGTTCCCGTAGATAGAGAATCTTGGTGCCTGAATACCTAGTAAATCAGTCTTTCTGAAGTGGGATTATTATATTAACCGCTGCCCCGTATTAGACCATCCCATTCTGTTGCTCTGCAGAGAAGGAATTACTTATAAAAAAATAAATAAATAAAAAATCAACTGGAGGATATGACAATATTTACGATATTGATTTTATTTTTTGTTTCTAAAAACTTTAGCAACATCGAATTACATTGTATATGTAAAATGTTATTTAATTTTGCCATAAATCCTGCAGTACAGGGAACGTGGGTAAAAACGTTTTTGGTTATGCAGTTTACTTTCGGTACTTTTACTGTATTCTGGTCTATGGTCAGGTCGTCAATCCACACTTGTACATTTCACTACCACAACAGTAAAGACTAGTGTTTCATTTCACATAGAAGTGATTGATAGTCGAGATTACTAAAAGTGTAAGTTTTACTGCCCTGTGTTTGATGTACGAAGAAGTTTTATAGGGACATAAACTAGTCACTACCGTTTACTCTTGTGGTTGATGTGGTCTTTGGATGCAGCTTGTTACCTTTGTTTTTGTAAATAGAAACAATGTGACGGAAGATAAGAACCATTCGGTCCATCTAGTCTTCCCAATTTTACTTTCATTAGTCCCTGGCCTTATCTTATAGTTAGGATAGCCTTATGCCTATCCCACGTATGCTTAAACACCTTCACTGTGTTAACCTCTACCACTTCAGCTGGAAGGCAATTCCATGCATCCACTACCCTCTCAGTAAAGTAAAACTTCCTGATATTTTTAAACCTTTGCCCTTCTATTTAAGACTATGTCCTCTTGTTGTGGTAGTTTTTCTTCTTTTAAATGTCTCCTCCTTGTGTTGATTCCCTTTATCTATCATATCCTCCCTGTCACGTCTTTCCTCCAAGCTATACATGTTAAATTCCTTTAACCTTTCCTTGTAAGTTTTATCTTGCAATCCATGAACCAATTTAGTAGCTCTTCTCTGAACTCCTTCTGGAGATATGGTCTCCAGTAATGTATCTCCAGAAGGATATTAATACTTCAAGGATATGGAAGGATAATAAATCTTTTTCTGATGTGCATTAATATAAATCACAACAATATTTTATCCGACATAGCAGCAAAGAAGGTGCATACACATGCTTGAGAGTCAACAGAGCATAAACTGAACAATTTTATTTATGAACCAGGCTATAAGAACATAATGCAGCAATGAGAGAACTAAATTATCAAGGCATTAATTTATGGCATAATGCAGGTCTAAAGCACAGGATGCATGACAGTAAGTTAAGTGCAGAGTGCTAACAAACATTTTTAATATAAGGCTAAGAATATCACTTGTGGCAGCCAATGATTAGGACTTAAAAGAGAATAAAACTTATTTTTGTGGTTGAAGCAGACAGGGAAATTAACAGTGATATGTATCATTGCCCCATAAAAGCCTAGAGGTCCAAAGAAGTATGGTGCTCAAGCTCCATGGTGAGGATTATGATCAAGCTATGCCCAAAAGTCAAAACGGACTACGCAGCTAGTTTATGGTACACCAGTCCTTCAGAGCACTGCCCCAACAGTAATGATTTAAGGAGGTTATGGGTGCAGTTGTTACAGTTTTTCAAAAGATTTGACAAAAACTGGGGACATCCCTGAATGAGAGCAAAACCTCTTCCATGTGATAGAGGAACCATGTCTCAATTCAGTGCTACCAAAGTGGGTTACCTGTCTATGTTGTCTAAGCTGTAATAAGTCCAGTGCTTTGTATTCCCCACCCATTACTAGAGCAGGTTCCATATAAATAAATATACCGTCATCTATAATAGTTGTACAAAATTGGTAATTGTACAAAAAATAAATTAGTTTAATCCACATCCGAACGATCAGTGTGGGATTTACCTGTGAAGTCCTATGTATTGAATGCGACTCCACAGGTAACTGCTGCAATTAGCAATAAAAAAAGCCTAAGAAATAGCCTTCATTTGTCATAAGCTTGCTGATAGGTAAATCGTCCCATTTATGATTTAACAAAGTTTCAAACCATGGCATAAAGAGGAACATATGCAAATAGTACTTGGGTAACACACAGTAATATAGCTAACTGCTGCCATCTACTGTTCACTTACTGCATTTCAGGTTTTATTCCCTGCTATATGATTTTCAATTATAGGAACACTTTTTTATAATCTGGTGGCACTTTTGAAATGCTAAATACTGTCAGGGTCTCACTGTAAAGTCTAAATTCGAAGTGACTTTTAAATCTTAGGCCAAAGTAGTTGAACTGTAAGCATAGCTAGCTCAGATACTTTTTCCAATTCTACTATTTCGGCCTTAAAGTATCACTATAGTGTCAGGAATCCAAAGCAGTTTTCCTGACACTATATTGCCCTGAGGGTGCCCCCACCCTCAGGGTCCCAAAACCCCTTCAGCAGCTTACCTTATTCCAGCGCCGGGCTCCCTCGGTTCTAATGACCTCTCCCCCCCCGGCCGACATCACAGGAGCTGAATGCGCATGCGAGGCAAGTGCCGCGCGCACATTCAAAGTGTCCATAGGAAAGCATTTCTCAATATATGCCTCCAGCTTCGCAGATGCGCCTCTAGTGGCTGTTTTTTTGTTTTGTTTTTTTAATACTGTACTTTTCAAAATAAACCTACGTTTCTATGAAAATGTAAATTTTTTTTGCGGCCCACTTAAACCTAAACTTTGTTTATTTGGCCCTTGCTAGCCTTTAAGTTTGACATGCTTGCTTTAACCCCTTAAGGACCAAACTTCTGGAATAAAAGGGAATCATGAGAAGTCACACATGTCATGTGTCCTTAAGGGGTTAAACAAAGTGTATTTCAAACCTTGGAAGAAGGGCAGTTTAACAAAAGTTATTTATTTTAGCAGAAACTAGATACAGATAAATGATGTAAATGCCAACCATTTTGAGTTTTAATTTACTCTAACAGTGTGGGATTAAAAATTTCAGAATACATACAGTGACCTTAATCTTGCAATATTTTAGAGAGGGTCTGCACTATTAGCACAGGAGCAGAATTATAGTAACCCTCTCCGCCCCACCAAGCGTTATGTGCAAGGTACCCATTTCCATGGTTGCTAATGTAGCTTTTCAAAATTGCCACCAGATTATAAAAAATAAAAATATGGACATTACTTTATTTCATTGAATGTTAGTTAATCTTACTCAATTTAGCTGTTTAGTTAAGCATGCTTAAAAATGTAAAATTGTGCGAATCCTCATGCCACTGTCAAAATGTCGTGAATTTTGAAATACGCTGTTGTGGCGTCCGGCAAAAAACCCGCCCACAAATGCTTTATTACCCTCGTTTTAAGGGATCCCTCCCCGGGACAGACAGACAATTCTGTCCCTACCAGGCTGGCATACAGGCAGGCGGTCGGGCGCTCAAAGCAGGCAGAGTGTGCTAAGCTCTTCCTGCCCAGCCCCCCTTTGCTCCGCAGAGTAAAGCCGGAATATGATGTCATTCCGGCTCGGGGCATTACTCTTTGGCAGGTACCGGCCTGCCTGCACCTTGTGTCTGTCTGTCTGCCAGAGTGTGTCTGCGGGCGAGTGTGTCTAAGTGAGCACGTCTGCACGAGAGCATGTCTGAGCAAGTGATTGTGTGTGTCTGTCAGATTGTGTAAAATCAGTAAATGTGTGTTTGTCAGTGTATCCAAGAGTGTGTGACTGTCAGTCAAAGTGTGTGTTAGTCGTTAACAGGAATAGGTGTTGTCTTGACACTAAGGGGTAAATTTAAATTAGGGGGTGCCCGAGTTCCGTCATGCTTAGGGCAGCACTGATCCAAAATACACCACTGCGTAGGTGACTTGCTTTACAAAAATACCTTTAAGCCGGAATAGCTACTACAACTGGCCTGTGCAAGAAACAACATATTTTAACAGAATTTATCTTAAAACGTTCAACAATGCCATAAAGAACGCTAGTTAAATTTTGTAGGTTACTGTCCATCCCTCTGAGGATAACCTCATTCTTCAGAATCACTAGGGAACCTGCACTTACTTCGGTCTTTGTAAAACATATGTTAGAAGGAATGTTCGGAGTGACTCAATGCTACTTGTTTCCAAAAGGACCCATTCTCTTACAACCGCTTCCATTATTGCCGTGGCAGCTTGAAAAAGAACATAGTCCACTTTGCTAGTTTCTGGGGAAAAAGAAAAAAAGGAACAGGTCAGAAAAATAATAGTGTGTAAAGCCATGTCTATAGAATGTAAATACTCCATATTAGAGCAACCAGTGGGGTACACACAATCCATGGGACCCCGGTGCAAAACTGATCCATGTGCGCCCCCCCTTACCCGACAGACACACTATATATATATATATATATATATATATTTAATACAATGCTAAACAAAAATCTGCACACCAGTCAAGCCATAAGACTTGCTTTTCCCACAGAAATCCCAAATCAGCAGTGATGTTACAACCGCAAAGGATTCTGGGTGGGCATATGCAAATTAGTTTAACAAAGAATCACATTTTTGCCTCATTCCATTTTAAACATGGATTCCTTTTAATTTGTAGATATTGGTGCGGTGTAAGTGACAAGGACCTACACCTATAAGTGGAGCGCTCAAACACAGATAAATCTTACCAAAACGTAGTCTCATTCAATGGTAAAATATGGGGTACATGTCAACATAAAATACAGAAAATACAATATAGTGTAGACGGTACTAAAAAATGGCTTCACAGTGATTATAATAATATTGTGTTGAATATTACACTCACATTTCAAGGAGCCTGTATATAGAAAACACTGGCTCCGTATAAAGGCTTGTGTGCTGTTATGGTAGCACCACCCTCCTACTTCGGCTTGAAGAATTTCTCAGGAACACGAAAAAAAGAGAAGAGAGCAAACCAATGTGTAGACTTATGGTGATAGATGGCACAGATGTGTGTTCAATAAATGGGGTGCTCACCTGGTCCTGAGCCTACGAATCCCGGCTCTAGGTATGTGGATTTTGTGCCAGTTTGAATGGGGATGGCACTACCCCTGTGAGGATTCCTTGGAGGCTCCAAAAGGAACTTGGATGAGGTATTGAATAAAAATGGTGAATTTATTAGTTTAAAATAAACATAAAAACAAAGATGATAAAAGTCCTCAAATAAAAGTCCTTTAAAAATGGCCAATACGCGTTTCACTCTCAAATAGAGCTTCTTCAGTCAGCTGTAATGTTGGTCCTCTGAATCCTCCATTTTAAATGTCATCTGGGTCTTCCCCTTTAATGAGTTAAGTTCATTCTGTCCAATCAGATTCAATTTCACATAATGTGTGTGTATGTGTGTACCTTTAATAGGTTAATGATGTTGACGCCTTTATTTGTCTATTTTTTCATTGGTAGGCAGCATTGGTTGGCGGAAGTGCTTGTTTTCAACTGGGTGGTTGGCGGAAGTGACGTCATCTAATCATGTGATCGCCATCCAGCCAAATAAAAAAAAAAAAAAAAAAACAAATAGGGCTGCAGAATTGGAATGACAGTAAAATTGCATGATGTCAAATATTAAATTCCTAGTGATATAATATAAATGTTGGTGCATATAGACTAATATATTTACATTGTTAAAGGTGCATATAGTGCTGGGTTTTTTTTTGTTTTTTTTTTCCTTCCTTTTTCATTGGTGGGCAGCATTGGTTGGCGGAAGTACTTGTTTTCAACCAGGTGGTTGGCGGAAGTGACATCATCTAATCATGTGATCGCCATCCAGCCAAGAAAAAAAAAAAAAGGCAAAAAGGGCTGCAGAATTGAAATGACAGTAAAATTGCATAATGTCAGATATTACATTCCCAGTGATAAAATATAATTTGTGGTGCATATAGACTAATATATTTACATTGTTAAAGGTGCATACAGTGCCGATGGTACATATATTTTTATACATTAAAAAGGTGATATTACATACATATGTGCTGGAATAGATATCCTTATTGGGTATTTTCCCAAAAGGTGGTTAAATCAATCTTCTTTAAGTGGTATTCACAATGTTTATAAGTTTGGGCATAAATAATATGCCACTGATTGAAAATGAATAAGAAAAATGTATAAAAGAAAAACAAGGGTACAAAAGAGTAGAGTGGATTACAATGGATAAATTCCATTGAACCCCAAAAAAAGGGAGATACCCATTTAAATGAAATGGCAGAGTTCGAAGTCTATATTCAAACCCCGGGGCTTTAAGGTCCCGAGGTTGAATATCCACCTCATCTCACTCTGTCCCAGTAATTTATTAAGGTCGCCTCCCCGCCAATTCCCCTTAACCTTTTGTATACCCATAAAGAGTAATTGAGTGGGATCATTATTGTGGGCTAGGGTGAAGTGGTGTGATACACTGTGTCCTTCAAATTTTTTCTTTATATTTCTAGTGTGTTCCTCAATCCTAGTGTGCAAATTCCGTTTGGTGCGTCCCACATATTTTAAACCGCAAGGACATTCCAATAAATATATTACGTTGTTTGAGTAACAAGTTATAAGTTCTTTAATAGGGAATTCCTCATCGTTATTGCAGTTCTTAAAAGTCTTAATATGTCTCTTTTTATTGTTGGTGTTCCTACACGCAAGACAAGTACCACATCCGTAAAAACCCTTTCCTTTATTTAGGAAGGTAGTAGTTTTAGTTTTTTTAATGTGGTTCTTTACCAAAAGTCGGTTTAAATTAGCTGCACCCCTAAATATTATCTTGGGTTTTGGTGGTAGAATCTGGGATAGGGCATGGTCCTGAAGTAAAATAGGCCAATGTTTATTTAGGATTTTCCTTAATGCCTTATTGTTATGGCTGTAATTACATACAATAGGTAAATTGACCTCACATTCATTTTGTGTTTTGTTTTTTTCTTGTAATAAAGTGCTCTGTGAAATTTTTAAAACTTGTGTATAAGTGTCGTTGAGGGTCTCCTTTTTATAGCCCTTATCTAACAAGTCGGTAATTAATTTGTCTGCTTGTTCCTTGAAGGTGTCATTGTCCGTGCAATTTCTTTTTATACGTATAAGTTGTGATTTAGGTACACTACTTAGCCAAGGGGAAAAGTGACAGCTTGAGGTGTGGATAAAGCTGTTCACATCTACATCTTTAAAGTGTGTCTTGGTCTTGATCTTTTCATCATCAATAAAAATATCTAAATCTAAAAATGTAACCGTGTGTTTACTAAAATTTGTTGATAAAATAATGCCCCATTCATTATTATTTAATTGATTTAAAAAACTTTGTAGCGTATCTTCTGTGCCCTTCCAAATAAAAAACAGGTCATCTATGTAACGGCGATAGGTCACCAGGCCCCCTACCCAGCCCTCATTAAGTTGTAAGTGTTGGCGCTCCCAGTCTGCCATGAACAGGTTGGCGTAGCTGGGTGCGAACCTGGTGCCCATCGCCGTCCCACATGCCTGTAAGTAAAAAGTGTCATCGTACCAAAAATAATTACTGGTTAAAATTAATTGTATCCCTTCAATGATAAAATCAATTTGATCTGACTCAAATTTCTGAGATTGTTCTAAAAAGAATTGTACTGCTGCACAGCCCTTTTGGTGTGTGATAATGGTGTATAGAGAGCTGACATCAGCAGTTACTAGGTAATAGTCATGTTCCCATTTGATGGTCTGTAAATGTCTCAGAATGCTCCCTGTGTCTTTAAGGTAACTAGGGATGCCTTGCACTATAGGCTGGAGGCATCTGTCCACATACTCCGAAAATCTACATGATATGGAGTTGATGCCTGAGACGATAGGTCTTCCAGGTGGAACTATGGGGTTTTTATGCACCTTGGGGAGGTAGTAGAACACCGGGATCTTAGGGTGTGTTACGTTTAGATACTCAAATTCTTTTTTATTTAAAATCTCCTTTTGTAAACCCTTGGTTATGAGATCGTAAAATTTATTTTTAATTTCAATAGTTGGATCTCCTTTTAGTTGTGTGTAGGTTGTGTGGTCGTTAAGTAGCCTCATACATTCTGTGTGATAGTCTTTGACATTTAAAATGACTATTCCCCCCCCCTTATCCGCGGGTTTAATGATGATGTCATTATCTTTCTGTAGTTTTTTTAAAACTTTGTACTCATCTTTTTGAAGGTTTTGTTGGTAACGATTCGCTTTTTTTAATTTATTGATGTCTGACATCACCATTTTCTCATAGGTGGTCATTTCTCCTGAGATTAAGTGTTTTGGAAAAAACGTGGACTTTTCTTTTAATGTCGTGTGTGTATACTTTTCTGTATTAATCAGGCTATTGGTTATGGGATTTTTTTGGAAAAAATTTTTCAAACATAAGGTGCGTTTAAATTTATTTAGATCTACATACGTCTCAAATTTGTTAAGATTTCTAGTGGGTGCAAATTTTAGACCCTTCTGTAGTAATTTAATTTGTGTACGGTTCAATGTAGTGCAGGTGAGGTTAAAGATACCTGCTTCTTTTTCCATCTCCTTTTGATTTTTTATGGGTTGCGTTTGTCCCTCTTTCCTCCTCTGTGTGTCCACGCCTCCTCTATTTCCCCTTCTTCCGTGCTCCTTTGTCTTTTGTTTGGTGATTTTTGGCGTGAGAGGAATTTGTGTTTGTCTTTGTTCCTCAGACTCCAAAAATCCTCTTCCCTTGTGATTTTTTCAAGAGGTTCAAATCTATGGTTGGTGGAAATATCGGATATTCTCCTAGGATTGTGTCTGAATTTGCTTTGTGCTGTTAAGAATTCATCTGATTTTGCTCTTTTTTCCATCTGGATAGGAGTTCTCATGTTGGGTGTGTGGGTTCTCCCATGGGGACTTGTGGAAGGTTTAGGTTCTATTCTCTCTCTAGGTCTCTTATTGTGATGGTCCCTAAATGGGTTTGCCCTTGGTTGATAATTTGTGCGTGCGTGATGTGGATTGTAAGAATTGTGTCTGTATTGATCATATGTATTATGATTTTCTGGTTTTCGATTTTTCCCAAATGTCCTAACTTCATTGCGTCTGTAGTCATTCTTATCACGTGTATATTTACTCTTTTTGATTTGTATAGTCTCTTGTTCTACTTTGTCTATAACACATTGGATTTTATCCGTGATCTTTTTATATTCGTCTGTGTTAGTGTGATTGATAAGAAAATTTTGTTCTTTATTAATTTCCATGTCTAATTTATCTAGTGTAAGTTTCCTCCTAGTTATGATTTTTTGCATCATAACAAAGGAGAAGGAATCAAGCATAGTGGCCCAGTCGTCCATAAATGCTTTATCTTCCTGATCAAATGAAGGGAATTTAAAAAACCTGAGTCCCCTTGGGGTGATTTTTTCACGAATGTATTTTTCCAGAGTAGCAATTTCCCATTTAATTCTGGTCTCCTTACTTAATGTTTTTTCAAGTATTCTCTGGCAGTCAAATATAGATTTTTCTTCCATTCTATCAATTTGGTTGAAGACAAATTCTTCTTCCCCAAATAATTCATCAATGTTAGTACATTGTTTTTTTCTTTGTTCGAATAATGACATAATGGCTATGTTTACACACGAGGATATATAGAATCTATGAATACCAATCAAAGGTTGCCTCTTTTTACAGAGGAGTGTGTATAACAAAAGTGCTCAAAAGAGTCAAAAAGTGATTTACAGGCAGCTCAATACACTAGTGTGGAAATATCCTCTATTCCACTGAATAAATTTAGTAGATATTGGTGCGGTGTAAGTGACAAGGACCTACACCTATAAGTGGAGCGCTCAAACACAGATAAATCTTACCAAAACGTAGTCTCATTCAATGGTAAAATATGGGGTACATGTCAACATAAAATACAGAAAATACAATATAGTGTAGACGGTACTAAAAAATGGCTTCACAGTGATTATAATAATATTGTGTTGAATATTACACTCACATTTCAAGGAGCCTGTATATAGAAAACACTGGCTCCGTATAAAGGCTTGTGTGCTGTTATGGTAGCACCACCCTCCTACTTCGGCTTGAAGAATTTCTCAGGAACACGAAAAAAAGAGAAGAAAGCAAACCAATGTGTAGACTTATGGTGATAGATGGCACAGATATGTGTTCAATAAATGGGGTGCTCACCTGGTCCTGAGCCTACGAATCCCGGCTCTAGGTATGTGGATTTTGTGCCAGTTTGAATGGGGATGGCACTACCCCTGTGAGGATTCCTTGGAGGCTCCAAAAGGAACTTGGATGAGGTATTGAATAAAAATGGTGAATTTATTAGTTTAAAATAAACATAAAAACAAAGATGATAAAAGTCCTCAAATAAAAGTCCTTTAAAAATGGCCAATACGCGTTTCACTCTCAAATAGAGCTTCTTCAGTCAGCTGTAATGTTGGTCCTCTGAATCCTCCATTTTAAATGTCATCTGGGTCTTCCCCTTTAATGAGTTAAGTTAATTCTGTCCAATCAGATTCAATTTCACATAATGTGTGTGTATGTGTGTACCTTTAATAGGTTAATGATGTTGACGCCTTTATTTGTCTATTTTTTCATTGGTAGGCAGCATTGGTTGGCGGAAGTGCTTGTTTTCAACTGGGTGGTTGGCGGAAGTGACGTCATCTAATCATGTGATCGCCATCCAGTTAAAAAAAGGGCCAAATTCTGCGCCCCTTTTACTGTCATTTCAATTCTGCAGCCCTTTTTGCCTTTTTTTTTTTTTTTCTTGGCTGGATGGCGATCACATGATTAGATGATGTCACTTCCGCCAACCACCTGGTTGAAAACAAGTACTTCCGCCAACCAATGCTGCCCACCAATGAAAAAGGAAGAAAAAAAAAAACCCAGCACTATATGCACCTTTAACAATGTAAATATATTAGTCTATATGCACCAACATTTATATTATATCACTAGGAATTTAATATTTGACATCATGCAATTTTACTGTCATTCCAATTCTGCGGCCCTTTTTGCCCTTTTTTTTTTTAATTTGGCTGGATGGCGATCACATGATTAGATGACGTCACTTCCGCCAACCACCCAGTTGAAAACAAGCACTTCCGCCAACCAATGCTGCCTACCAATGAAAAAATAGACAAATAAAGGCGTCAACATCATTAACCTATTAAAGGTACACACATACACACACATTATGTGAAATTTAATCTGATTGGACAGAATGAACTTAACTCATTAAAGGGGAAGACCCAGATGACATTTAAAATGGAGGATTCAGAGGACCAACATTACAGCTGAGTGAAGAAGCTCTATTTGAGAGTGAAACGCGTATTGGCCATTTTTAAAGGACTTTTATTTGAGGACTTTTATCATCTTTGTTTTTATGTTTATTTTAAACTAATAAATTCACCATTTTTATTCAATACCTCATCTAAGTTCCTTTTGGAGCCTCCAAGGAATCCTCACAGGGGTAGTGCCATCCCCATTCAAACTGGCACAAAATCCACATACCTAGAGCCGGGATTCGTAGGCTCAGGACCAGGTGAGCACCCCATTTATTGAACACATATCTGTGCCATCTATCACCATAAGTCTACACATTGGTTTGCTCTCTTCTCTTTTTTTCGTGTTCCTGAGAAATTCTTCAAGCCGAAGTAGGAGGGTGGTGCTACCATAACAGCACACAAGCCTTTATACGGAGCCAGTGTTTTCTATATACAGGCTCCTTGAAATGTGAGTGTAATATTCAACACAATATTATTATAATCACTGTGAAGCCATTTTTTTTTAGTACCGTCTACACTATATTGTATTTTCTGTATTTTATGTTGACATGTACCCCATATTTTACCATTGAATGAGACTACGTTTTGGTAAGATTTATCTGTGTTTGAGCGCTCCACTTATAGGTGTAGGTCCTTGTCACTTAAACCGCACCAATATCTACTAAATTTATTCAGTGGAATAGAGGATATTTCCACACTAGTGTATTGAGCTGCCTGTAAATCACTTTTTGACTCTTTTGAGCACTTTTGTTATACACACTCCTCTGTAAAAAGAGGCAACCTTTGATTGGTATTCATAGATCCTTTTAATTTGTGTTTGCAGTATACAACTGCTTAGAACACAATTTAGGATAAGATGCAAAAAATACTGTACTTTTTTGCATCTTATCCTAAATTGTGTTCTAAGCAGTTGTATACTGCAAACACAAATTAAAAGGAATCCATGTTTAAAATGGAATGAGGCAAAAATGTGATTCTTTGTTAAACTAATTTGCATATGCCCACCCAGAATCCTTTGCGGTTGTAACATCACTGCTGATTTGGGATTTGTGTGGGAAAAGCAAGTCTTATGGCTTGACTGGTGTGCAGATTTTTGTTTAGCATTGTATTAACTATCCACATACTTCAGGTGGAAGGGGTTTTCAATCACAATTTTTCCCCACCATAACCTATTTATATATATATATATATATATATATATATATATATATATATATATATATATATATATATATATATATATATATATATATATATATATTACACAAGATCCAGCGCACTCACCTATCCACTAAACAGCAACTTCAATGTTGAAAGATTTTGTTTTTTTAAAAACACCTAATCTAGGCAAAAATAATGGGGGTTTAGTTACATTATAAATAGGGCCCTGGGATGAGGCACCTGTGACAGGTAGGTTAATTTCATAAGAGCAGACATTAGGCTGTTAGTGTAGGACCTGCCAAAGATGGGGTACATTGACGTTGTGGCAGGCTTATGCAATGTATGATCATATAATGTAACTAAACCCCCATTATTTTTGCCTAGATTAGGTGTTTTTAAAAAAACAAAATCTTTCAACATTGAAGTTGCTGTTTAGTGGATAGGTGAGTGCGCTGGATCTTGTGTATTGTATTATTTGGCCCCCAGCAGCACCCCCATTTATGCATGTTAAGGTGAGTGCAGCCAACCCCCTCTTGTTATATATATATATTGTTTAAGTCACCCTCCTGTTTCCTACCTTTTAGGTGCAGGAGGGTGACTTTCCCTGGGGTCCAGTGGTGGCTCGGGTTGATGTGAGTCAGAGTTCCCCCTCTGACTCACTCTCCTTCCTCCTGCGTGGCTCTCTGATAGCTGGGAGAAGTGACCGGGGCAGTCACTTCCTCCCAGCTGTTAAAGCGCTGCATCGCTGACCGGGCCCCCTGGAAATCCATACCCATCGGGTGGCCCTAACAGCATGGGCACCTTCACGTGTGGCCCCTGGAGTGACGGGCTCAGGTCACAGCTGCACCCCTATATGTACGCCACTGAGAGCTGCCATTCAACTGAATATACTAATCACTGCTGACAAATTCCAAATGTCAGGATTCCAGTTTTCCTAAACCACTACATTTTGGGCCATTTTATAAACATGTGCCACACACAGATATATATCATGAATTATATATAGTAGTATATTATTCCTGGAAAAACAAAACACCTTACAACGGTTAATGGCAGGATGATTTTATATATTCTCATATAATACACATACAGTAAAATGATAAAATTAATCAAAGTTGCACCAAAAAGTGTTGCTTGCAGCCCTCACCCAGGTGTATTCCTCAGAAATACAAACTGTATTTTTTTTTGGCACAACTTTTATTAAATTCTACGTATTTGTTTTCACATTAGCTGATTTCAGAAGGGTTATAAGTCTATAAAAGATTTGCTAGGTATTGTGTATATAATGCTGTATCAAACTTTTATAAATAAAAAAAATATATTTATATTTAGTCAGGTCTTAACAGTTACTCACAAGCCTGAAGGGTCCATGACAATCAACAGGACAGAATGTTCACTCACTAACGGCAAGTGGAAATGTTGAGCCCCGTGTATAATTTTATATAATAAGGTGTTTTTTTTTTTTTTGTGTGTTTTTTAAGATGTCATAATATTTCATACGTACCTAATATGTGTTTGCAGACAGCAAATGGTGATTTGGATTTTCTAAATGACAGGAAGATGTGCTCCGCGTGCTGCCGTTGTTCAGTGTTTACCATGGACGGCGGAGCCTGAGAGAAAGCAAAGAATTAAGAAACAGCTATTAAAAAGGGACTTTAAGTGATTCCTCAAACAACATAAGTACTGCAGCTTTCTATGTTTGCAGTCCTTACAATCTCTACCCAGCAGACAATCTCACCCTTGTGACACAGACTGTCTTAGTTCTGCACACTCCAATTCCACGAACTCATACAAATATTTTATCTAGATAAGAAGGAAGTGAAAACCAATTAATTTGTTCATGGTTTAGCTGCCAAAGATTCCCCTTTTTTGTCATACTGCTTGAAAATGGTTTGTCAAAAACCAGATGGTGGTTAAAGTTGTTATGGTACTTGAAGGGTCCTTGTACTATATTTGATATTTCTTCTATGGGATTCCAAGACTTTAAGAAATTAAAATATGTACGATTATGAAGAGAACGCCAGCCTCAATTCGCCCGCAGGTTCAGGTAAGTAAGGCTCACTTTTGCCTGCCCCCCTCCCGGCCAGGGGACCACTAGCGGTGATATCACATCCATGGTCTTTGCAAATTAGGCAAAGTACGCAGACAGTGACAGGACTGCTTTAAAAAAAGTGGTCACTCGGAAATTTAATGCAAATAAACATTTTCTTCACATAAAGTTACAGCAGGATAAGTTTGAGCATCCAAGCAGCAAGAGTGGAAGAGTTTCAGAGTGGAGGCGGCCATCTTACAATTGCATCACAATTTTCAAATCCACATTGATAGTTACAGATAAAAAGCCTGTCGAGAGCACTTGATCTATGCAACCAGACTGATTTGCTGAACAGCTCTGAGCATTCCACTGTCCAAGAAACATATTGCTTAAAGGACCACTATAGGCACCCAGACCACTTCAGCTCAATGAAGTGGTCTGGGTGCCAGGTCCATCTAGCATTAACCCTTTTTGCTGTAAACATAGCAGTTTCAGAGAAACTGCTATGTTTACCTATGGATTAATCCAGCCTCTAGTGGCTGTCTTACTGACAGCCGCTAGAGGCGCTTCCACGCTTCTCACTGTGATTTTCACAGTGAGAAGACGCCAGCGTCCATAGGAAAGCATTGAGAATGCTTTCCTATGGACTGGCTGAATGCGCGCGCGGCTCTTGCCACGCATGCGCATTCAGCCGATTACGCCGAAAAGGAGGAGGAGAGTTCCCCGCACCGAGGGAGCCCGGCGGGGGAAAACAGGTAAACTTTAACCCCTTCCACCCCCCAGAGCCTGGCGGTAGGGGGGCCCTGAGGGTGGGGGAGACCTAGAGACCCTATAGTGCCAGGAAAACGAGTATGTTTTCCTGGCACTATAGTGGTCCTTTAACAGACTGACATATGCCCAACAAAAAGTATCGACCAGGAGTAGGCAAGATTATATGATTATTCCGACTAGTTATTAGAAGAGCCACTTTAGACAGGATTAGTAAACCATCTAAAAAAAGGTTACCTAGAGAAATGCTTAAATACATATTTTACTATTTTAGGAATGAAAGTCCATCAAAACAAAAATTCTAGTTTTCAACAGAAAAACAAAAAGCAAAACATCTGGTGAACAACTTTCCAATTCAAACTAAACTCGCACGAAAAAAAGATAGAGGCTTGAGTTACCACAGTACTTCAAATAGACAGTAAAATAACGAGGTACAGGTGCTGCTATCCCACATCACTGTGGCTCCTACAGTGATATATGCAAACAAAATTTAAAAAAAATAAGGAGGGAAGCACAACCACAAGTGTGTGCAACAAGTGCTACAGCTTTTGAAGAACAAGCATCTATAGAAATGTTTCGGGCAAAGCATCTTGTCCTTAACCATCAATGTAATACTCACCATTTTATAAGAAAAAAGTGAAATAACCTTCCCAAAACCACCCCCAAAGTGAATGAGGAGGAGGGGACCCCCATCTGAGGTCCACCGCCATCTTGCTGGTTCCAGCCTGTGGCCCTCTTTTTTAGGCAAATAAGTGGGGGTCCGTGAAAAGGTGTCCTATCTGCTTGTTAAGTTGTAGTAGGAGCCAGTTGTTTCTGAATATATAAAAAAATAAAAAATAAAAAAAAGGCCGTACCATAAGGGATATGGTTACCAAGGCAGACTCATTTAAGCCACATTCACAGACACAAAGGTTCCTATCAAAGCCAGTGCATGGTACATATCCTTGCTGGTCATGTAATTACTGCAGTGGCATTATTAAAGGTGAAATACGTACCCACCCTGGGTCGGGCGAGAGTATTAAACTTAAAGGCTTCTTCACGTGCCAAACTAATTTTGTTGTATATCTACTTAAAGTGTCCTTGTGGGTGGAGCTATGTTGGTAAAACCATTAACTCTCTCAAAGATAACATCTCACAGCACAAAACTGCTATTTGTAGCATTAAATCCGACACTCCTGTTGCACTGCACATCAGAGATAAAAGAATGTCTCACAATTGAGATACCAAATCCTTGAACATGTTCCACCTCAGGGGCAATAGGGAGAAGATTGTAGTCCAGAAAGAAGCTCACTGGATGTACTGTTTAGACACCGTGTCCCCTCATGGTCTCAATGAGCAACTTGAGTGGCACTGGTTTCTATAGATACTCCAGACAGTACCCACTGGTTGGTAAGTTGTTTTTGCATCCATTTGTGGTCTGTCTCCTATCCTGTGGATTAAAGAATGAATTAAAATGCCTAACAAGGCTGAAACGATCATCTGGGGTTGCTGTGTCTCTCGTGCAGAAGGCACTTGCTTGTATTTCGGATCTGGACTGCCCGTATGGGTGGGACCAGTCTGATATGCTTTAGATATGTTCTCTCTGTAATGGCACAAGAGGAGCTAAAACCAGCTTGAGATCTGAGCGGGGACCCACCGAAGGGCAGGATTTTTCAGCTGCTGTCCATTCTCAGTATACTCTTGCGCCCCGTTTTTTTTGCTCTCCTTAAAGAATGTACTACTTCTATTAACACTCGTTTATTGTACTGGGTTATATACCCCAATCTCTAGAATCTCTCCAATTAAATATCTTATGGCCAGGGATGTGGCCGGACCAGTTGTGCTGGTTGTGTATATGTATATACACACGCGGCTAACTGTACTTACAGTTGTGTGTGTATATGTGTGTATATATATATATATATATATATATATATATATATATATATATATATATATATATATATATATATATATATATACACACACACACATACATACATACATACACACACACTTATGTATATGTGATTTGATTTAGGAGCTGTATCTAACAGCTGCACTAATTTTTGCTTCACATTTTTGGGTCTGGATATTGTCACTACTACATTTCTATTTTATCCCTTCTTACCCTTTTTTTCCTATACTCCCTATGCAGAATACCTCAGACTGACTCCCACCAATTAGTCTGCCTCTCTCTAATTTATTTGAATTTTTACTGTATATTGCAATATATGTCTGCATTTAGGGATTGCTATACAAGAATTTACCTGTATAATTTCAATGTGTCTTTTGCTGCATTGACATGGGGTGACATTTTTCTTTTGAATTTTGCATTTCTTTGGCTATTCCAGGTCACTGCAGTGCTCTCTGTTGGTCCAGCCTAATAATTAACCTGTGTACCTTGTTTCCTAGCATCACATGTCCACGGGTCATATGACCGGAACCAGCAAGATGGCAGCAGACCTCAGATGGGGGTGGTCTCCTCATTTCCTTTGGGGTGGGTTTGGGAATGTTATTTCACTTTTTCTTATGAAATGGTGAGTGTTACATGGATGGTTAAAGAAAAGATGCACAGAGAAAGGGCTTTGCCCAAAACATTTGTATAAATGCTTGTTCTTCAATTAAAGCTGTAGCACTCGATGATCACATCTGTGGTTGTGCTTCCCTCAAATTAAACAAGGCAAATCACACATATAGGATTCCTGTGATAAGGCACCTTTGCAATAAAGTGAAATGGAAGGTTAAGCTCCAACGATTTAATACGTGTAAACTTTACCACTTCAGGGGTAAGATAAAGATTAAAAGTGGTTAAAATTAATTTTAAAATTTAGACCAAATTAGTCAAAGTGAAAACATTGCTATGAACACCTGACAATTCTCACTATAGTGAATAACCCTGAACGTGAAGAAGGGGACCAGAACTGGACGGGACAGCTCTGTCACTTCCTAAATAATGCCACGGGCACCAAAGAGGGTTCAGAGACCACGCATTTCTTGCTGGGGAAAATTAAAAAAAAAAAAAAAAAATCATAGCTGTAGTGTAATTTCAATGCATAAAGACTACTAAACTTACCATAGACTGCCATTTTAAATCTGCAGGTTATTCATTAGACAAGACAGTAATCTTGTCAGTAATGATTCTAATAAATCTAGGCTACAATACCTGGACACTTTCCAACTGGGTTATTTTGTTGTAAATGATAAAATACTGCCAAGCTCCTAAAAATTACAGTTTGGGGAATAATCACTCAGGATGCAGAAATCATCACGGATAAAACTATACTATAATTTGATGCTTTCAGGTGGGTTACACCTGATTTCAAGTTTGTTTAGCACTGTGTGCAACATCCATGGAAGTGATGTAGCAGTTTTAGATGGAGCAGGGAGATGGAGAGAGCAGATCCACCGAAGGGAAAGTTGCATTCAGAACTTTAGCCAGATAAAAATCGAAATGCTTTACTGCTCACTTCTGATTAGTGCTTCAGGGAATAACGCTAAAAGCATTACTAAAAACTAAAGAGAGCTGATGTTTATGTGGATTGTAAGTTTGCCAAGACGGACTTATAACTACACGCAATAAAATGAACAATAACAGTTAAGACTACATGCAAAAATAGCTCCATACTAACAATATATCTCTTGCTTTATGTAGCATAATAGGACTGCAAACTCCAGTTCTTTGGACAAGTTACAGAAAAATTGATTACCCACTGTTTTGGGGGGGGGGGGAATAACCATTTCATGAGAGATCTGTATAAATGGTGGTTTGCCTTTTGGAATTATTAGCCAAAAGATTAGATGTAAAATTAAGTTAGGGTGGCCACCTACAAATGGCGGTAACTGGGCCATAGACTGGGTATTATACTTTTTCTCTCTTTTACTACTCACAGGGACATCTCAGCCTTTATATCCAGATATAGAAATTTAAACATTTTAACAACTTAAAGACTATTTGTATTAAAGAGACACTCCAGACCCCTAAAGCAGCTATGTGTGAAGAGAGTGTCCGCTTTTTTTTTTTTCTCATTTGACAAAAAGTTCAGATTATGAAAGAAATTGTCGCTTTTATAAATTAACCTGGTTACACTCCCTTGGCTTTCCTTGCACATCTAAATGTATATGGTGGAGGAGCAGAGAGGAATTTAATAGTGAACTATCCTAAAGTTTTGCTAGCTTGTTTGGGAGGTAGATAACTGAACCTGAATCATCCATGCATGGTGCTCAAGTTGAATGTTGGCTGGTGTCTGACCAATTTGTGCCATCTCTACAGATCTTTAAACTAACAATGTCTCACTCTGTTTAAAGCTAGAAAAATCACCTGGGAACCAGTGTTCATTTAGTCGACTAAATTTTAGTCAAATTTTGTCAACTAACATTTCTGAGATTTAGTTGACTAAAACTAAAATAATTCAGATTACTAAAATATGACAAACTAAAATGTCTCTAATCAAAAGACTATGGCTAAAACTTAACTGAAATTTGTCACCAAAATTAACACTGCACAGAGGGACTATGCAAGGGGCAAAAGAGACAGACCAGGCTTGTGAGAGACACAGAGAATCTTTAGAAGGGGAAATATAGAGAGACAGAGGTTTTAACTAAACCCATTAGATTTTAATTGTGTCGACTAAAATCTACAGGAGATTTAGTCAACTAAAACTAGACTAAAACTAAAACAATTCAGATGAGTAAAATAAAAATGGCTTTTTCGTCAAAAGATTTACCTAAACTAAAGTGAAATTTGTCGCTAAAATTAACACTGATGTGAACCCACTGTGACAATAAGCTGCTGTTTTCAAATCTTCAGTAGCTAGTGAATAAATGGAAATTTTGAGTCCAATCGAGATAATGGCAGAGACTGATCAAAGCGTTTGACACTTTTCTGTGAAAGTTTGGCAAATTTATAACTCAATTTATTTAGTGGAGATTTATGTACCATTCTTTCAATGGATGTATGAATATTCACTTTTTTAGGTCACTTAAATGATAAAAATAGTAATGGAACTTATCCAATACTTTTCAGAACATTTTGATAAACATTCCAAACTAATTCAAAATGCAGTAATTGTTTACTGCAAATGCGGAGCTTCTCCAGTAAATTGCTAGTGATTTGGAACCATCACAGAGTACCTAATCTATTTACTTGGAATGCTGTGCATACCCACTGAATACCTGAAGGAGTTTTAGGGGTATAAAGTTCAGCTTTTGAAAGTTTCATTCACAAAAATTAAATCTCTGTGCAAGAAAACAGAAGCCAAAACATAGCTACCGTGAACTTACTGAGCAGTTGCATTACCAATATTACCAACAATGTCCCACATGGGAGCCCAAATCCTTTATTAAATATAAACCAAAATGATCTTACTCCATCTAATACAAGAGCATGGCTTCCACCTGGTAGAGGGGGTTGGGGAGTGTCCAGAGGGCGAGAGAGAATCATATCACTGCTCTCCTACTGTTAGATGACAATAGGTTAGAGAACTAGATGGGCCAGCCTCCCCCCACCATTTGTATTTAATTCTTGTTTTATCAGCTATAGACAACGGGAAGGAGTGGACACAGTCCCGGTTCCCTCTGGCTATCATGTGAGAGAATAGTGTCTAGAACATGGGTCGTCAACCTGGTCCCTACCGCCCACTAGTGGGCGTTTCAATATTCCAGCTGGGCGGTAGGGATTTTCTAATTTTGAGAGATTGGGCAGGCGGGTGTGAGACGGCGATAGCCCTGCAACCGGGTACCACCATCACAACTTGCGGCCACGGCCCTCGCGGCAAACCGCCGGGGTCGCATATGGAGGGTTCCATCGGGTGGCCCATGCTGTCAGGGCCACCCGATGGATGTGGATTGTAAGGGGGCCCGGTCAGCGCGACCGGCCCCCTGTGATTACATCACAGAGCTGGGAGGAAGTGACTGCATGTCACTCCTCCCAGCTAACACACCGACCGCGTGGGAGGAAGGAGGAGGGAGTCAGAGTGGGAACTCTGACTCCCATCCACCTGAGCCACCACTGGACTCCAGGGAAAGTCACCCTCCTGCACCTAAAAGGTGGGAAACAGGAGGTTGACTAAAATATTTTGTGTCTGTCTGTATGTAGGTCTGTATGTATGTATGTATGTATGTATGTGTGTCTTGTCTTTGTATGTCTTATGTGCCTGTCTGTCTGTGCGTGCGTGCCTGTCTGTGTGTGTGCCTGCCTGCCTGTGTGTGTATGTGTGCGTGCGTGCCTGCGTGCCTGTATGTGTGTGCGTGCCTGCCTGTATGTGTGTGTGTCTGTCTGTGCGCGCGTGCCTGCCTGTATGTGTGTGTGTGTGTGCGTGCCTGTAGCATGTGTGTGTGTGTGGGCGTGCCTGCCTGTATGTATGTGTGTGTGTGCCTGCCTGCACCTGCATGTATTAATGCGTGCCTACCTACGTGTGCCTGCCTACCTGCGTGTGTGTGCCTGCCTGCCTGCGTGTGTGTGCCTGCCTGCCTGCGTGTGTGTGCCTGCCTGCCTGCGTGTGTGTGCCTGCCTGCCTGCGTGTGTGTGCCTGCCTGAATGTGTGTGCGTGCGTGTATATGTATGTGTGTGTGTGCGTGTATATGTATGTGTGTGTGCGCGTGCCTGCCTGTCTGTCTGCGCGTGCCTGCCTGTCTGTCTGCGCGTGCCTGCCTGTCTGTCTGCGCGTGCCTGCCTGTCTGTCTGC